GGTCCCTTCAAGGGTTCTATAGGGTTCAATTTAGGGTTTAGGGTTTAGGGTTTAAGGGTCCATGTGCCCACAAGGGTTCCTTTAAGGGGTCCTTTAAGGGGTCTATAGGGTTCTATAGGGCTTAAGGGTCCATGTACCCAAATAGTATATACTTTGGCCTTAAAGTATTCCCTATATAGGCACTTTGGGGCCAAAGTATATACTATTTGGGTACATGGACCCTTAGGGATAGGCTCATACCCTGCCCCTTTTTTTAGGGTACCTAGTTCTTCAGTTAGGATCTGTTATGTAGGAAAGTAGGTAACCAACCAAAGGTTTAGGGTATGAGGCTCTAGGCAAACCCCTAAAATCCTGATCCTCTGACCCGTGAGGCTGACCCATAGGCAGGTTCGGGGTTGTACTAGAGGGACCTTAACAAATATCTATACTATTTTGGAGGTTCCTTACTAGAGTTATGGTACAATATATCCCAAAACCCTAGTCTAATTATTTAGCCCCCTACACTGCAATGTTGAGGAATAGATCCGGAATCTGCACTTTACTTTGAGAAGCTTCTACAGCGAATCCCAGCAAGTTGGAACATGGGTTTAGGAGGAACCGTGCTAGGATCCCTTATACTTTATCTCAAGGGCATGAGGATAACCAAGTGCCAACTTTCTGGCTTCTACTATATGTTCTGGGATATGGATCGAAGCTAACACCCCGACCCTGGAAGGATCCGAAAGGTATATCCTTTAAGGGGCTTCCTCTGAAGTACCCTTCAGTAGTATAGGGTCCCAACTTAGCGGATCTATTTTTTAGATCCTCCCGAGAGTCTGGGAAGACTTCATTTAGAGCATGCTCGGTACTTCAAGGTTCATGGAACTTAGTAACTAGGGCTATAAATAAGGCTGAATAAGGTAACTATGCTTGTAATTAGCTTTCACCTAAGGTACTTATATCTGTACTTACTAACTCCCATGAACCTCTAAGTACTGTTCAGCGGTGACATGGATTCGCACACCCTCCACCAAAACGTGAACAATCCCACAAGCCCCAACCCGAATCACCACAGCCAAGCAACAGCATTGTACATCACAACGGTGACGGTCACGTGCTCGGTGTCATTTCGCTTGGGCGACTTGATGGACAAGCCTCCGACAGCTCTGTGTCTTAGCTGGGTGTAGGGTTTGGTTTTAGGGTTTAGGCCTCAGGGTTGGTGGAAGGGTTTACAGGTCCAAGGACTGCATACACTTCGGCCTTCAGGCGGTTCCAATGCAGGCACTTTAGCGTCACAGTATATACTACGTGGCTCCTCACTTTGTGCCGTTGTGTGCCATGTTCGGGTTGCTGCTAGTTTCTGCCGAGGAAAGCCCACTTGAGGGCGATGTGAGGCAGGGCTTTAGGATTCTACCTGAGGCAAAGTCATGCTCGGTTGCATAACCGTATGCGGGTTGAGGGATTTAGGATGGTTTAGGGTTATGACAGTTTAGAACGTCGCATTTCACGGGCTTGTGGATGCGAAGGTGCACTTGCCATGAGAAGGGGGTCTCTCTTGCGTTCTCGGGTTGGCGTTTAGATAAAGGTTTAGGCATGCAACAACCCTAAACCACACACATGGGACCCCAGGCCAAGCCGAAAGGTTTATATGGAGTTTAAGGTTTGGGGTTTAGGGTCAGCAGATGTCAGCAGTCTTTTTGGCTCCATGTCATGCTGTGTAGTTGCAGTGGGGGAAATGATCGGATGCAAGCGCCTTGGGGTTCGCTGAGTCGTCTTACGGGTTCGGGTTGCTATGAGGGTTACTATAAGGGTCACTAAAAGGGCTACCGTACAGGTTACTACAGCGGTTGCTTATACAGGTTGCCATAAGTGATACAATAAAGGCTGCTATGAGGGAAGACGGGCTGGGTGGTTGGTAGTCGCTTGACATGCGAAACGACGACCTTCCCAGGCACTGGCAGCTGTGATGTTCTTTCTTCTGGTCATGCTTCCAACCCTGGACACCGGAAGCTACAGATCCAATTACCCTAAGGCCCTAAGGGTCCATGTACCCCCAAAACTATATACTTTGGCCTTAAGGTAGTCAGTAGTCCCTACGTAGGTACTTTGGGGCCAAAGTATATGATACTTGGATACATGGACCCTTAGGGGTAGAGGGACCACTTCAAGGCCGCCAACAACTAAACCCTAAACCAACAACGCGGGCAAGGCGTCGGCCCAGTACTAATTTGCTAGCATAAGGGGGTTTAGGGTTTAGGGTTTAGGGTTTAGGTTCCTAAGGGTCCAGACACCCCATGACTCCCCATAGCTACTACAGTCAACACGTTGAAGCTCGCCGTTGGCTGGTGCGGATTTAAGCTCCGGATGTGAGCATCAACGGCCTGACCCTAAATCCTAAACCCCTAAACCCTAAACCCCTAACCCCTAAACCCCTAAACCCCTAAACCCCTAACCCCTTAAACCCCTAAACCCCTAAACCTGAAGCCTCGGGTTTTCAAAGGGGTTAGGGCTCAGGGCAACAGGCTTCAACTTTCAACCAGGCACTATCTTTTGGAGTGGAGTGTAGGCCCTAAACCCTAAACCCTAAACCCTAACCCTAAATCCTAAACCCTAAACCCTAAATCCTAAACCCTAGGATGCTTCGCAAGAGCCCTGGGCCCTCCATCTCATGGCAGCTTCGTGTGCAAGCTTAACCCAGCGAGCTCAGCCCCAACATCCCTGAAACCCCCGAAACCCATGAACATGTCTAGAGCACCCTACGGGTCCAAGTAGTCCCTATGTAAGGCTTTGGATACAAAAAGGGCACCCAATAAGAAATACTTGGACCCCTATCCCTAAGCCCTAAACCTTAAACCCTAAACCCTAAACCCTAAACCCTAAACCCCTAAACCCAATAACAATTACTACTTCAACCCCTATAAACGCTAAATACTTCAACCCCTATAAACCCTAAAACCTCAAGCTCCCAGCCCAGCCTTTCCAGACGTCGTGCTCCGTGCCACGCGAGACCCGGGCGGCACTGCTGCGCCCTCTCGGCGCCGGGGCGCTTCTGAGGCTTCTGCTGCACCTCGGATTTTTCATGTTTCGGGTTTATAAAGGGTTTAGGAGTTTAGGGTTTAGGGTATAATGGTGTAAGGTTTAGGGTTTAGGGTTTGGCGCGAGGTGCACCGAAGGCTTAGAGGCGTTTTAGGGTTTGGGGTTTACGGTTTCAGGATTTGGGGTTCATAAAGGGGCTTACCAGGTTTGCTTAAGGGTGTACTTGGAGGATCCTGGGACTTAGTAAGTAAGGTTATAAGTCCCCTAATTGGGGTTATAAGTATAGTTACCTTAGTTATAACCCTACTTACTAAGTCCCATGATCCTTTTAGTAGGACTCATAGACATCTGTGCCAGGCCTCGGGGAGCAACGAGTAAGTCAAGGCCTTCTTGCTCGAGGAGGAGGCTGAAGCTTTCCCAAAGGCTCCATGTACCTTTATAGTTTAGGGTTTAGGCTTTAGGGTTTAGGGTTTAGGGTTCAGGGGATCCTTAAGCCCTAAAGTGCCTATATAGGGACCCCTTTAAGGCTTAAGTAACTACTATAAAGGTACATGGAGCCTTTGGGTTTAACCAAGAGGGTCCATAGATACTACTATTATGGAATTAGGCCCCCCCAAAACCATACTAAAACTGGTCTTTTGGGACCAAATTCCAAAATGGTAATGTAACATAACAGGAACCTCTGGGTGAAAGAGCCTTGTGTAGAACGAGACCGTGCTGGCGCAGTTTACGAAAGTTCATCGTTCGATAACTGGCACGATGTCTCAAGTAGCAAGGAGTGTCCCTAAATCCCAAGACCCAATCCCGAACTAACATCAGAGAGTTCGGCCACTACCCAGGACGACAAGACTCCCCTCAGAGTCCCTTGAAAAATCCTGGTGTAGCCCTTGCTGTTGGCATCGTGGCTTACTACCTCGCCCCCAAAAAGCCGCACATCTGCGCACTTACACTGGGCTTTGAAGTAACCAAGGAGAAAAAGTATAGACTTTTATTTCATAATGGTTCCTTTAAGGAACAGGTCCAAAAACAAGTATTAAAGTATGGTACTCCAAAGCCCAGTACAAGTATCTTTCGAAGTCGGGCTCAAAACCCAGGCTTGCTGAGTACATATAGAGCTCCCTGGCTGTATTGCGAAGTCGAAGTGTATACTAGGCACTAAGGGTCCATGTACCCAAATAGGGTTCCTTTAAGGGGTCCTTTAAAGGGTCCATAGGGTTCTATAGGGTTTAAGGGTCCATGTACCCAAATAGTATATACTTTGGCCTTAATGTAGTCCCTGTATAGGTACTTTAGGGCCAATGTATATACTATTTGGGTACATGGACCCTTAGGGCTAGGCACTAAGATGTCCTGTACGGGATACTGGTAATCAGACCGTGTCTGTTCTTTCTATCACACTTTCGTCGCCCATGCCATGCCTCGGAGCCCGATTCATTGGAAATACAAACCCGTACTTGGAGGGTCGGGAGACTTAGTAAGTAGGGAATAAGTAGACTTATAAGTACCCTAAAAGGGACCCTAATTGGGGTTATAGTACTTACAAGTCTATAAAATAACCATTTACTAAGTCCCCCGACCCTCCAAGTACTTCATGCATTGCATGTAAGGTTGGTGCAATGTTGCAGAGCTATGGGCCTCTAGATAGGGCAACATAGCATCTCAACACGTAGAACCTAATTTCAGACCCCTTACAGATACCTAGAAGGATAACACAGAAATAAGATTAATAGTAATATTGGTAACTAAAATGCTCTTGCAAATAAATTAACTAGCACAGTAGTATGAACAAATATTACGAATAGCTTAATACCGACAAAGATAAGAAAAGTCACAACACAAAACACCACCAAGAACAACAACCACAACCACAACCGCAACGACAACGACAACGACAACCGCAACGACAACAACACTAATTATGACTTAATACAGATCATTGTAAGGGGAAACACCGACTTTGACACTGGATGCCGACAAACCCCCCTCGCCAAGTAGGTAGGGACTTGGGGTCCGACAGTATCACGGGGTTTAGGGTTTAGGGTTTAGGGGTTTAGGGTTTAGGGCTTTGCCGAGAACAGTCCAAACCAGGACAGCTTACACCTTTGTGACCACTCTCACGAGGGTAATGCAGCAAAGAGCTTGCTTGCTGTGTTGACTGACAACCAACTCACATCCCTCGACCTCAGTCTGAATCTAAGCCCTACGATACAATCAAATTGGGAGACAGGCACGCGCACACAAACACACACACACACACAGACACACCCACCCACCCACCCACACCCACACCCAC